CACTGCCTGACCTGCTGTGTTCCTCCAGCTCCACACTTTATTGACTCTATCCTCCAAAATATATTTGTCAGAATTCTATTCTTTAGCATCTATAACTTACATTTTCAATATTGTCTGTTTAAGATTTTGGGCAGAAGACAAACTTGAAGTAAAAAAGAACTCTACACAAAAGCTGGGTGCTTAGTGTGTCAAGGATGTCAACACAATTTTATGGTTAATACCTGATATTTCTTAAATCAGTCCAAATCCTTAAAGTTTATTTTAGTTCTGAATAAACCGGTAACAGAGCATTTAAAATGTTTTTCACATCAACTCCAACTACATGAGTTTTTAAACAATGCACACATTGTAAAGTGCTTACGAACATTCCTTATGTGGTTGGAATCTATTGAAACCCACTTGAAATAAACATGACTTCACCTTCAAATCCCAAATTGTCATCGCGCCATCGATACCAGTAGTGCAAAACTTCCGACAATCTCGCTTATCACCTTCATATAGTGAGACTTGGCTGGGGAGAGAATAACAGAATTCAAAAGAAATACATACACACTTTTCAGTCCAGTTAAATATCAGGAATCTAGAAATAGCTGTTTTTTTACTTCAGATATAGTGGGTTTGATATCACATTTGGACACACAGCACAAACTCCCAGCCATTCAGCTCGCCAACTCTGTAATAGCAGTTATGCTCCAAAGTAATGTCTCATCTCATTTTACCTTATCTAATCCAGAATAAGTTACTGTGAATTATACAACATGAAACTAACCAGGCAGAGTATTTTAGACCTAAAAACATGTAATGAGATAGGATTAATTAATAATCTCAGAGTAAAAGATCATCTGGGAAGAGGAAAACAAACTAATAAATTTACACTTATTTAAGGGCGAACCTTAAATTAGTGCTGTAACTTTTAAATAAAGACGAGTGCAAGAATATGAGGGCAGAGTTGATTAGTGTGGACTGGAAAATAGATTAAACACGTTTACACAGTAGCAAACATCTTAAAAGATATTTCATGACATCCAAAGGTATGGGGTAACTGAAACACATTGGAAACTTTCAATTAATCAGGCACAGCCAGCATGGATTCATGATGGGTAGGTCATGTCTGACAACTCTTGTTTTTCTGAAGAGGTAGTGGTCAGGGGAATGTCTATGAACATTGTTTACACGGACTTGCAGAAGGCATTTGATAAAGTCTGACATAAAAGACTTAACAAAGACAGAAACTCTCAGAATTGAGGGCAAATTACAGACATGTCCGGGAACTTGTTTGAGTGGTAGGCAACAGAAACTGGGATGATGAGTGCTCAAATTAGCAGGCTGTGACTAGTGATGTCCTACAATGATCTGTATTAGGGTCTGAATTATTCATATAATTTATTAACAACTTGGATAATGGCATAGAAAGTCATGTATCCAAATTTGCTGATAACACAAAATTAGTGACAGTGTAGATGATAGCATAAGATTCCAAAGCGATATTGACAGACTATGTAAATGGGTAAAATTGTGGCAGATGAAGTTCAATCTAAGTGTGAGGTTATCCATTTTAGACTGAAAAAGGATAGATCAGGGTACTTTCTAGATGGTATAAAGTTAAATACAGTGGATGTCTAAAGAGACTTGGCAGAGTTCAGGTGCACAGATCTCTAAAATGCCACAAACAGGTACAAAATATAATCAAGAAAGCGAATGGAATACCGGCCTTTATATCTAAAAGGACTGGAGTATAAGGATACTGAAATTATGCTGCAGTTATATACAACCCTGGTTAGAACCCACTTGGAGTACTAAGAGCAGATCTGGGTACCACATCTTAGGAAGGATATATTGGCTTTGGAGGGACTACAACATAAGTTTACAAGAATGATATCTGGACATCAGGAGTTAAGTTATGAGGAGATTAAACAAATCAGACATGTTTTCTTTGGAATTTAGAAGGTTAAGGGGTAATCTTATTGAAATCTTCAAGATATGAACAGGAAAAGTCAGGGTGGATAAAAGTAAACCGTTTCCATTGGTTGGGGATTCTGGAACTAGAAGGCATAGTCTGTGAATTAGGGTCGGACCATTCAGGAGAGATGTTAGGAAGCAATTCTACACGCAAAGGGTGGAAGAACTCTGTCACAAACGGCAGGTGATGCTTGGTCAGTTGTCAATTTTAAATTTGAAATAGATAATACCTTTGCTGAACAAAAAATTTAAGGATATAGGCAAAGGAAAGTATATGGAGTTAGGCCACAGATATCAGCATGATCTCATTGAAAGACAGAGCAGGCTTGAGGAACTGAATGGCTGACTCATGTTCTAAAAGATTAATTTCATTGAGAAAGAGTCTGAGATGGATAGACAATCCATGGCTAACAAAGGATCTTAAAGATGGTATAAAATGGAAAGAAAAATCATATAATGCTGCAAAGATCAACACTAGGCTAGGAGATGAAACATGAATAAAACTCAGCTTTACACTAGTGAGAAAACATAGGACTATTGCTTTTTGAATTCCATCATCTGATTTTAACCACTGGGACTTCAATGAATGAAAATGGTTTTAAAGAAGAAAAGCAGACTTAAAATGTTACAACAATTAGGTGACCACACATTAGCAAAGCTTTACAAAATTAACATGGAACAAAAAATCAATTTTATTAAGACACAAACTATTCTACCTCGTCAATCAGTCTGTCTTAAGAAACTCTCATCCCTCTGATAAGTTTCATATATTGGAGATAAATGATATTACTTGCATTAACCAAGCTTAGAAAGAATGAACTTAATTATAGAAATGCACAAACAAACCTGCATTTCAATGACCAGCTTTTGACAGAGGATGGGAAATAGATAAGTGACTGAAGAGCTCTCTCACTAAAGACAAAGTACCCTACGGCAAAACATAGGCAAATGTCCGGACACCAAAAGCTTTGAAATCTACAATATTTGCTAAGTTGAAGATGCAAGGCAGGGTACTAATAAAACAACAGTGGTCTCATTTTAAATCCTGCTCTTTAAACAATGCATTTTTCATCTTCCTTTTGTACTGCACACTTTTTATACTTTTATATGGTAGGCAATAGCTACCATTGATAATGCCACTTTGAATTCAATCAATCAGAGTCTTGGACCAGTATGTTGAGTATCAGAAAAAATTAATCCATTCCCCTGAAACTCTTTTCAAGTCAAAGTCCAAACTCAAAATAGTGTTGTATAATATTAGACCTAGTTTAAGCTAGCTACACAGTGTGTCAGCTTTAAGAGTTCAAAACTTCCAACTCATTTCTTCACACACACGATTACAGGTAAATCTAGTGACTAAAACTGGATTCATGTGGCTTTTCTAAATATCTCTAGTATTTCAATTAGAAAACGGAATAGGAAAGAACTGTAGTGTCATCCAATACATTCCAGTTCATTCTCTATGGGTCCAATCATACCCAGCTCCTCATGGGAAAATGGTTTGGTTACCGAACCTCTAAAGTGTTTAGCCAATTCCAAATATTAAAATTTTAAGTCAAAACTTGTCATTGAACTGCTTTTAATACAAATTGTTTGCTTTGTTGCCTGGCATTTGAAATCCATACCATTTATGACATTGGGTATCTGATTATTGATAATATAAGCATATCTTGGAACAGAAGTGAAAATCACAACGGTTGAGTGCTCAATCTTGCTATGTTTCAACCCTGCTTGTTTGCTCATCAAAAACATTAACCATATAAATTTCAAAGGTTTCAGTCTTCAGATTTTTACAAAACTTAATTAAGGTTTATTGGCGTAGTGGGTAACATTTCCATGTCTGAGCTAGAGGCTTCGATTCAAGCGCCACTCCAGGATTTAATGGCTAAGGAAAGTGTGTTGGTAATGTGCCTAAACTGGTTGAGTATCAACTTTCAAACCCTTCCCACATACACCAACAGCAGGCAGTAAGAATAGGACAGATTCCTGATCAGTAATGCAATGGAAAGAAAATTGGTGCTACTAACATCACTACGCATAGCTTGGGGATGACAATATGCATGCAAAAATCAATATTGCCATAATAGCTCAGACTTCTTGGGGATTGGTTAATTGAGATCGCTGGGTGACCAGTATGGACCAGGTTGGTGCCAACTGATCCCTATTCCGGTTCAACTGGAAAAAAAAACTGTGGATGCTGTAAATCAGAAATAAAAACAGAAATTGCTGGAAAAGCTCAGCAGGTCTGGCAGCATCTGTGAACAGAAATCAGAGTTAATGTTTTGGGTCAAGTGACCATTCCTCTGAACCCAGGCGTTCTGAGGGAGCATCACTCGACACAAAACTTTAACTCTGATTTCTGTCCATAGATGCTGCCAGACCTCCTGAGCTTTTCCAGCAATTTCTGTTTTTGTTCCTGTCCCAGTTCAGGTGGATTCAGGACTCATCTCCTTACCCTACTTATATTGGAAGTTATGGAACTTTGGGTGCCTTTGAGCGGAGAACTGACAATTACGATAAAGGACAATGATAGTTTGGGTAAACCCACAACTCAAAAATTTAAGTATGAAATAATCATAATTCTGTTTAAGGGGTTTGGAATTCAAGGTAGCAGGATTTTGGTAATCTCAGCTGTCCGTTCAAATTTCTGTCATTTCTCCCATCCGTCTTCTCATCTCAATACACTTCATCAAACTACCAGATAAAAGAGGGGTAACACTATTTGCTCCATTAAATAACACCATTTTAATATAGTAATGCCAATGATGCTCAAGATTGCCAGGTACCAGTTCCACTTGTAGATGAATGAGAACAATGTTGTATTTTGCTTGCTGCCATCTCAATGGCGCCGATGAGTTGGAGTGATAATGAGAACAGGTGAAACTCAACATAATTGAAGCGAGGTGTTCTAACTGGCAAGGAATTCATTAAACTGCCTATTTGGAGATGACATTTCCAATCCACAAAACACTATAAACATTTCACAAAGAATGCTGGAGATACTTAGTGGGTCAGGCAGCACAGGGAGAGAGTTAAAATCTAAAGCCCAGTATGACTCTTCAGAACATGAAGATGACCTGTTGAGTTTCCAGCATCAGAAGTATTTTGCCTTTATTAGGACCTATAAACACAAATTAAATAAATTTTGACAAGCAATATAAAAACTCAGCCCAACAAAATATTACTTGCAAATGGGGCTTCAAGGTAGTTTGGCTGAAAAGCCGCTAACCTGACTTTCTCAAACTTACGTGATGCTGTTCTGGTGGAGAGTCTCAAGCGTGGTATTTCGATCCTCTGTGGTTGCTCTTCTATCCAGATTGTGGAAGCGCTGCATGGCAGACATGTTGCGCTGAATGCTCTGCTTTGGAATGTCTAGCTTGGAGATGTAGGTCAAAGAACCACGATCATCATACATGAACAGCATCGGACAGCAATCATGGCCCTACAGAGACACAGAAAGCTGTAGAACAGGCTATCCAATTTAATGCTTAGCATGGACAAATGTGCACTATTTTAGAATCTAAAACTAAATCCTCTATACTACCATGTGGATCTACTTTTAATCTGTGTTCAGTAAACTAAATGGAATCTTATCAAAAACACCAACGTCAATCCACTACATGCTTAAAATCTGATCTCCTTATTAATGTTTAACGATCTTACTTTAAAGAAAGCACCGGCAAGCAATATTGCTAGTGGGTTCAGTGTGCTTTACATTCCTCCTCTTCCCCAGTTTTCTGACATTAGACCTAAAGATTTTCATCCCTACTGGGGTAAGATACCCCAATTGGTTGCAGCCATTTAGTTGTAAACAGTAATGTGGAAGCCTCGACACCAACAGTCATCAGATTTCTTGTCATGGCTGACATACTGGTCAAGTGCAAACCAAGCAGCCCATATTTGATATGATACGTGCTTCTCCTAACAGTGAGCAATACAACAGGCTAAATCTCTCCATTCTCACCCCTCCTCCTTCCTCCCTGTTCCAGGTGCCAGTGATGAGTTATATACCCCAAGGGATACAATTTTTCTTGGACTTTTCCCATGTCAGATTGGGTTCCTTACTCTTACTTTGACATCCCAGTATGAATAACTGGACATGGTAGCAAATACTATATTCAAGACTTTTAAATAAAACTGTGGACTATACAATACAAAAGCTTGAGCCATTCTTATAGATGTTTGTAGTATGAAACCAGGTTGTACTCACTGCTGCCACTATGTTATTCTCAGAGACAAAAATCACACTCAAGAGGGGGAGAAATTCGGTCTTCGTTTGAGAAACCCTATAAAGAAAGGTTACACTTTAATTCTACCTACTTATCTTTATGCTTCCTTAGCCAGTACTTATTCACCTATTTTCCTTTTATTCTACATTTGAAAGAATTAACACTATTTTAGTTAAAATCGTTCACCTAATTTTTCTCCTGAAGGTACGAGCCCTTATTATGACAGTAATCTGAGGGCACGGCTAATCCTCTGATAAGAATGCAGCCAGACAGAAGATACTAGCTGATCGTTCAGCTAAGGAAATCATCACAAGGGCAATATTCTGTTTTTTGCCAGGCATAGACACATGCGTACTTTCCTACTGAGGTCACTGGAGCATTCAGGAGCAGATGCTCTGGCTGTTTTTTCTCCTGTCTCTAACCAAGAGGAATTGAAGATAAACATAGACAGCTAAACCACTGTTTCAGTTGATCTTAGGTAATTCAGGACACATCAGGCACTTTCTAGTTTAAATGGTTGTGCTATACTTGAAAATAGAATAAAAGACCTAACTGACATTTCCTAAATTTCAGAATTGAACTGAACAGGTCTATCAGTCTCATACTAACCGACTGTTAATGAGATTCTGTTTTGTGCTCATAATAAGCACTGTTATTGTATACAGACAACAAAAAGGTTGTCTTGCTTGTATTGAACAAACATATTCCTGTCAAATACTTTGATTTAAAAATAAAGTTAATTTTAATCATATGGAGACTCTCGAAGCAGGATCTCATTCCCTGCCCACCACTCAAGAGATGTCAATTACAAAAAAAACTGCATCATTACAAAGATATGGAACATGAGATTTTATAGCAGCCTTATAGATCCTAGGAACAATATTAAGAGATAGATTATCAATTTTCAAGCCCACAGCATGATTTCTTAAACATCCCTCATTCTGTCCTGAAGTTGCACCAGCTGTTTGGAATGGAGCGAGGCTTGGATTTATGTTTGATGCCTTAAAACAGACAGCTTAGGAACAGGTAAATAAGAAGGAAAAGCCTACTTAAAGGGTTAAAAGGTAAAAATAAAATTGCTTTTTCAAGTTCACATCTGGCAATAGTATGCTTTCCTTTCTGTAATAACAGGGACTGTTTTGATCCAACTACCTTTTTTTCTTGCTATCAGGCTGTGCAAGTTTACATGGCAACCTACTGACACCATGTGGTGTAAACATGAAGAACACATAAACAAACTGTAAAATTCAACAATGCAATGCAAAACCAATTGCAATACTTTATTTAAGAATAATTCTCTGTATTCAAAATGAACAGTGCAATTAATGTGAGATTACTTTGCACAAACACATTTTCTTTCCATAGCTGCTGAACTGAATTCTGGCATCCCAAATATAAACCATCAAATTTGAATACACTTGAATCTTGCAATCAACACACGCAAAGTAACCTCAATTTATCAATGCAATGAAGCACTACTAAGAATGCCAAACATTGACACAATTACAGTATCAAAATCACTATGCAGGTTTGAAATAAAGTCAAAGAAGTGGTCGTTCATAAATGTATTTAGATTCAAACTCTGTTTTTCCTGCGTTTGTCTTTCATGTTTTTCAAATTACATTTTGAGGTTAGTACGATCCTTCCTTCACCGGAAAATCAGAGACTCAATGACACTTACGACATATTTCTAGCAGCGTCGACAACAGATACAGTGCTATCGTGGCTGACCCACGCCAAGCGATTTCCTGTGGCAGAGAAAGAAACACTGTGGACCCAACCACCACTACCGGCACCCCCAAATTCTGCCATCATTTGTCCAAAAGGCATTTTGGAACCCCAGGGTGTGGCAGAAGGCTTTGTGTCTACTTCTTTGATGTAAGCAGAAAAAACTCTGAAGAAAATAGAAACAGAATTGTCAGAAGGATTGCTGAGGGAGGGTTAATCGCCTTCCGCATAGTCATATAAAAGATAAAATGGCATCACCAAAGCTACTGATACATTACAAAGTATTTGGTGCAAGTCAGGGGAGCTTGTAAAATAATGTGCCCATAAAATGCAAGCATTTACTGTTACACAACCTCACTCCTGAATGTACTGTTACCCCTAAAATCTCTCTCACCTTTCCTAGAACTCCATGTTTGATTCCTTCCAATTAGGATAACGCCCCTGCCATAGTACCAGAAATGGGTTTTAACCCTGGTTACTGTGACAGGCAAACGAACCTTCCTGATCCTCTCAACTTTGCATACAGTCATTACTGCAGTTAATCACACCATTGTCCTCCAATTTCTCTTCATTGTTATACAGCTGGGGGGGGACTGCACTCACTTGGTTCTGCTCTTGCCCATCTAACCACAGCCAGTCAATCATCATCACTAGCTTCTTTTCTCATTTCGGCACTGTTACTACTGGCGTGACCGAAGGACCTATCCTCGTAAGCCCTATTTCTCATCTAGCCTTTCAATGATATCAACCATTACTACAAGGTCAGTTTCCATATGTACAGGGACAGCCCCAACACTCCTTCACTACCACCTCTGTAGACTCCATCAGTGTTTCCGTGTCATGTTTTGTCTTGTACTGCCTGTGAAGCACATTGAGACATAACTACTTTAAAGGGGTTACATAAATACAAGTTATTAATGTCAGCAGGCCAGATTGGGACTGATATAAAATGTATGAGATCATTGTACTTGTGCTTGTGTAACAGGTTTTAGAAATTTTCAGCTAACGTTACCTGTTAAACTCTACTTCACTGATTAAATGTCTCAGAACCCATAAAGGTCAAATTAAAGCAACACCTGTATGAAAAACCTGCAAATTTAATTTCAGTCACTTTTGTTAAAATGTTTAGCTGCTACTATTTAATCCTTTCCAGGCAACACTCCTCTTACAGCTGAAAAGGATGAAGCATCAAGAGTATAATGTTTACAGTCAATAACATATTAAGTTTGTTGTGCATATCAGCATTTGGTCATTCCTCCATATAGGTTTCTCAGCAGGAATTTCCCAGTTTTAGAACTGCAACACATTCACAATTGCAGTACAGTTCCACCTTCAGATGTCCATAACAACAGCATCACTAATACAGTGTAGAAAATTTGCTTTGCCTTGACTCCGAGATCAACACCATGAGAAACTGATGAGTGATGATTTAAGTTTTAAACGTCCTTTTCTCTGGATAATTTAATTTTTTCTAATTCTAAACTTCATGAAAATTTTTAAAATAAAAACTTAAAAACATTTTAATATTTATGAAAGTGTCATTTGTTCATTTGATAACTCACAGCACTAATCTTATTAATAGCATACAAACTTTTACAATATCAACATTTAAATTGGAAAACTCGTTTTAAAAAATTATCATTTTCTATTTCATCATGTTTAGGGTGCCTCAACTGCAGCTTTCTAGGCAGTCTTGGTTTCGGATACATATTTGCAGGTGGCAAAAATGGCACAGCAGGATACGTTGAATGTGAAGTTTTGTGAAAGATGGAATTCTAGGACAAAGAAGGGGGCATAAATTGAAAATAACCTTGAGGTGATCAAAAAAAAACAAATTTAGAAGGAATTTCTTTTAATGCATCAACGAACAAGGTGTTTAGTAGGCATGGGTATTGATTGTAGTAGGCAGCTTTGATCATTAGGATGAAGCTTGATGCATCCATGAGGGAGAAGAAAATAAAGAGTTAAGTGAGCAGGGTAAAATAAATGGAATAAGAGGAGGCTTGTGTGGAATTTAAACCACAACATAAGATCATAAGATACAAGAGTAGAATTAGGCCATTTGGCCCATTGTGTTTTCTTACCTGATCATGGCTGATATATTTCCCAACCTGGTTCCCCTGCCTTCTACCCGTAACCCTTGATCCCCTTACTAAACAAGAACCTCTCTGTCTTAAAGACACAATGACTTGGCCTGCACAACCTTCTGTGGTAATGAGTTCCACAGATTCACTATACTTTGACTGAAGAAATTCCTTTCGTTTCAGTTGTAATCAGTTGTTTCTTCACTGAAGCTGTGCTCTCAGGTCCTAGTCTTTCGTACTAGTGAAAACATCTCCACATTCACTCTATCCAGACTTATCAATACTTTAAGCATCAATGAGATCCCCCCTCATCCTTATGAAGTACATAAAGTACAGACCCAGAATCTTCAACCACTCCTCATATGACAAGCCCTTCATTCCTGGGATTATCCTTACATACCTCCTCTGGATCCCTTCCAAGGGCAGCACATCTCTTCCTTCGATATGGAGCCCAAAACTATCTGACCAAATTGTCTGCTTTTACACTAAGTTCTAAGTCATAATAAAGCCTTCCAAATGGTAAAGGGACAAGTAAAAAAACAAAAAGATGACTCTGGAGGAAGTGTAAATGAAAAAAGCAGAATCAATAGCTATTGCCCAAACATGCATGATGTTGGTGTCATTTCCTGCTACCTGCAATTAACCCAGCATGAAATCAACTGATGAGTGGCAAATCCTATCTGATCAAGGAGGAAAAGAAAACAAGTAAAGCATAAGGAGAGACTAGTTAAAAATGTGATGGAGACAGAAAAAGAAGTTTGTAGAGATGAAGAGCAGAAGTTGAGTTCACGTGGAGCATAAGTGTCATCAATCAATTAGGCAAAACGGCCTGTTTCTGTGCTATGCATTTTACACAATTCTACGGAAACCACAATCCTCTTCAAGGAAAGAAGTGAAAAAAGTGCCAATAATAGCACGGACACTCTTGAGGGCTGTCAACCACAGCGCAGGGAATGAAAATCTTTAGCTGAGCGAAAAGGAAGATTCAAGGGAAACACATTTACAGAAGGTGATGCCAACAGGACAGACATACAGGACTCGGAGACTGAAAGAATGGCATAAAAGCCGAGTGGGTGGAAGTATAGCGAAGGCAAAAGAGTTATTTAGATCACCATGAATATTAGTTGATTGCCTGTGTTCCTAAAAGCAGACTGTCATTGAGGAAGGAAAATGTCAGAGATGGATCTTGTGAATGTGAGGAAGAGTGGAAATTGGAAGCAAAATTGACGAGTTTTTCAATTGAAGAGCAGAGCAGGAAATAATACCAACACCATATTCAATTTGGACAGCAGCTGTTGGTAATAATTCCACTTCCTCCATTTACGCCTCCAGAATTATCTTGTTTCTTTAGTAGTACCATTACTACATTACTATCTCCTTTTGTCATTTAAATCAGTCATGCCTCACCCTCTCTCTCTTGTTCCTTCCTCCCCTGTCTTTGCACTTGTTTAGAATCAGCTGTACGTTTAACAACTTCCAACTTTGGAAGAAGGTAACTAGACTTGAAATGCTCATTCTGTTTCTTTCAGTTTCCACAGACGCTGCGCGATATGTTTGGTGTTTATTGCATTTTCTGGTCTGATTTCAGATTTCAAGTGACTGCAATATTTACTCAGTTATTAACTTTCATATCACTTTTCCATCTACTGCACTTGCAAATAAAATGGTAATACTGTATTAGATAATTATCAAGTGATGCACAACATTAGATTTTGTTTATAAAATTCATCCGCATCTATTTGTTCTTTGTGACCTACTTATTCCTCAAACGCTGTAATGCTTCCACAGCAATATACATTATGGCAAGAAAAAAAGCAAAATTAAGGGCTTAAATCAGCAATTCACCTTCAGTGTTCACATTATTCTTTGAGGCAAAATGCAGGAAATTGTATGAAGTCTTAAGCAATTAGGTGGAAAATTATGAGAAGCATATATTGCTAAAACCTCAGATTACAACTAAGATTCTCAGTAGACTGCAGGAAGCAAGAGATTTATGTATATTGGATAATAGGCCAAAAGAAACCAACCTCATGTTTCGGCTTTACAAACTGCAGTATTGAACGCTAACAGTTAGGAGTTGGTGAAGTGGTAGAAACTATTATTTATGCCAATTTGGACATGCTGTTGGGGAAATGACAACAGGCCATAAGATGGTGCATTATACGTTCACAAATTGTAACAGAGAAGAGATGATTTAGTTTGATAACTACGGCGTATTCACTACAGCAGAGATGTTTAAAGGGATTTAAGAGAAATAGTTCAAGTTTTGGAAGGGTTTAAAGCATGAGTGGGAAGATTTATTTCCTCTCTGATGAGTTTATACCAAGAAAATAACAGAAACTGTACGAGAAAAAGTTAGGGAGACCAGAAAAATAATTATTGTACGAGAAGTGGTTACGAAGTAGGCAATGATGTTCAAGAGAGAATTTGATAAAGAACAGAAAGAATTAGAAATCACACAGGAAAGGAAAACTGAAATGGGATGACAGTTAATAGTTGTGGAGGGAAAACCTGTAACACAGGCAGCAGCTACATTTCTGAAGAAAGATCCTGACTGGAAGTGTCAACTTTCCTGCTCCTCTGATGCTGCCTGGCCTGCTGTATTCCTCCAGCTCCACGCTTTGTTATCTCTGACTCCAGCATCGGCAGTCCTTACGATCTCACAATGATGGTAGAATTATTTCAATCTTGCATAATGGCTATGGATATCAAGGGCAAAACTGTTCAGGTTTCCAGCATCTGAATGATCTTTTCTCCCAAAGGAAAATGTTAGTGACTATAATAATCAGAACTTGACTCTAGGAATTTGGGACCTAATCTTGATCCTTAAGTTGGATTGTTGTCTATATTTAAAGCTTTTCAAACAATATAAGTGTATGTTTCTTCAACATAGGCAAGAAGATGTAAGAAATAAATTTAGAGGTAGTACACGATTTTAATATCTGGCCAAATTTTAGCATTTCTAAAGGTATATAAAAACCTTAAACAGAAGCTGCAGCATCTCTCACCTGCATTTGAAGTCACACGAGCCTGCTGCCAGTAAGACATTATTGGGATGCCAGTCAAGGCTAAGGATAGTAGAACGAATTGGCTTCTTGATGTGTTTACTCACCCACCTAAAACAGAGAACTACAGCTAATTTTGTTAACGCTTAGCAGATGCATTCTTGCTTAAATACAGCATAAATTTTACCAAAAATGAAATTTAGGACCTCGGAATTTCTATTTATGGGTCTAAAAATCCCTCCGTGGCCAGTACTCCGTTGCCTTCAATATTTTGGAATGCATAACCTAAGAGGGCAAGATAGGGCCAAGACCAAGAGGGCAGATAGGCTCAGTTCCCAGACTTTAGCCAGTGGTGGGCAAGCAGTGAAGACTTGATACACAACAGCCTCAGATTAAATTTCTATCCTATCCTTTAGTAAAACACACATGAGCTCAGCATCTTCCTTTGAAGGTGCAAGTGAAAAAACTCTGAATAACTACAGACATAAACCTATATCCCATCATGATGCTGTGCAGCAGCACAATTTACACACTGTAAATTAACCACAAAAGGAACTGATTATGAAACAAATCAGTAGGAAAACATGGTGTCATGTTGGGAAGACAACGTCAAATTTGCAGCGATGGGGCACTATTGCAGAAGTAAAGCAAACACAAAGGGGTCTGTTTAAAAATAGAACATGGGTCAGTGACCAGAAGTCAGGTAGTGAGAGAGGAGGAAAATGAACATAATAGCTGGAAACTAAATGCTGCTAAGATACAACACATAAAACAGGATTTGAAAGTATTAATGGGCACGTAATTGTAATCAATAGTACAGTGTGTCCAGCAGTAGTAAAAGATCACTAAATCTTCAGTAAAAACCAAGAGATTTTTAAAAAACACATGTATGAGGCATTTCAATGGCTGCAAATGAAAAACAGTGCAACTCCAGATTCTGTACCATAGCAAGAATATCCACAATTTGGAAACAGGACAGAAAAAAGCAACCAAATTGAATTTTTTTTTTTTTTTTTTTTTTAAAAAGGCAGTGGATCCATGCAGGAAGACTGAAATTGGGATTATATGCAGAGGGCAAGTTTCTATAGTGATATTAATCAATCATTCTTAAGGTAATAAAGAATTTAAACTGCCACTATACATTTGAGATTGCCACAAACTCCACAACTGGGATGTGGACTTAAGATGGAATCTAAACTGCCCAGACAGAAAGGTATTGTGGAACCTTTTTAGGAGAAATTGGCCAGATACTTGAAGTGAATGTATGATCAAGAAGTATTCAATTAAAGGGATCAGACAAGTGGACTATAGCATCTTACCCATTCCTATACTTTCCAAGAATGATTAAAATTAGGTAAATTTTGACTAACTATTTAAGCAATCTAAGAAGTGTTAAGGCAGTGAGCATCGAGCTGCACAAATCAGGAAGGTCTGATATTTGATCAGTGCCTGTTAGTAGAGTGCTATCAGAAGAGCATCAACTGTCCGCACAATCCACAGATGTGGTGAACAAAGGATCAAAAGATGGCAATAGATTCTGCTGCAAAGTGCATACGTATGAATGAATATGACTTAATCGTGACACATACAGTGGCCAACTATTGCACCAAAACTCATTATTTAAGCTTATTTATGAAGATTATAGTAATGGAGGTCACCCAGTACACATGAAACTAGCAAAGGAAGGAGTCAGCATATTCAAGAGATGAGCTGGAGAGGTCAGGACAAATGATGAGAAATATTAAACAACATGTTTTAACAAGAATATTTGAATACTGTTCTCTTTGGAAATCTCTGCATTCTGTAGTGTTCTATTTAGAAATCCTTCTGTTCTACAGAGTCTATTTCCAACACAGATCCCAACAAAAGGTGCATATTTTAAAAGCTAAGGAAACATATTTAAGCATTTTAAACTCATTGTTTAAATTAGTTGGGAGGTTAAAACTAACCTGACCCAATTAAAGAAAGCAATGAAAATAACTACGGCTAAAAATATATTTGACATTGAGGCAATGGCACCCATCCTCTGCAAATGACCTGAATAATGACTGAAAGTACACACTGTAGCTGGTATACAATTGCTAACAGAAAAAGGGTCCAATTTTCTTCTATTCATTTACATGCTAAACAATGTCCGTCTGAGGAATGCAGAACAAATTTCGATAAAGTCCCAGCACATGCAGATGATATGAATGAGTAAATACTTAACACAGGTTCACTCAGAATCAACAAAACATCAATTATCCAGCTACAGTTCCAATAAATGCTATTTACATTTTTTAATGACCTGGATGAAGAGACTGAGTGCAACACTGCTGATTACAAAGCTACGTGGGAACGTAAACTATTAGGAGGATCCAGAGACAGACTAAATGAATGGAAAAGGTGGCAGAAGAACAACAATGCAGGCAGGTCTAAGTTAAGAAAAATTGACATTTTGTTTAAAATGATGAGAAACTACTCCATCTTAGTTTTCAGAGGAATTTGGTGTTTGGTACAAGAATCAAGATTCACAAGCACATAGGTTTAGCAAACAATTAGGAAAGTAAAGTGTATGTTGACCTTATTGCAAGGGGTTTAAAATGCAAGCTGAAAAGTTTTGTTGCAATTGTACAGGCCTTTGTTAAGATCACACTTGACATATTATGTACAGTTTTGGTCCCCAGATCTAAAGAGGATAGATCTGCCCAAATTTAAGTGCAACAATGGCTCAATAAACTGATACCCAAGACAAAAGGCATGTCTTATTGGGAGAGCTACGATTCTCTCATGATTTTGAAGATTAAGAGGTGATCTCGTCAAAACTTTAAATACTGAGAGGGTTTAAAGGGCAGGTGCTGAAAACTGTCTTTCCCAGTTAAGATTCTACACCCAGGGATGATAATGTCAGAACAAGGCTCTGGCCAATTAAGATCGAGATGGAGAAATTTCTTCAGAGTGGAGTGTCTTTTGAGTTCTCTCTTGGCTATTGCACATCTGACTACAGGAGAAAAAAGATTTTATCATCTGACAAAAATTATTGCCATACCAGGATGTTTAGTGCAAACAATGCAAAACTCAATTCTTTAGAAACAACTGTTATTGAAGCATTCTTGTTTGATCAAATAAGCACCTACCAATCATTTTCTCCTTCAAAGTAGCACACGGAGATCAGCCGAGCACCACTACCTACAGCGAACTTATTTTCCTGAGGCGACCACTTCACAAATGTTGCAGCACGGTTAATTCTTAGAATGACCAACGTAGGCTTCCACACGCCGTCTTTCTGACTCCATACATAAGCATTACGGTCAGCACCACAGGTTACAATGCGATCACTCTGGGGAGCCCAGTCAATGCCTGTACAGAAAGTATAGCGATGAATTCATGTTAAAAAAGGATTAGGAATCCTAGAACCAAAACATACCACAGACAGTAAATCTTATTCATGCTGCTAAATTTGCTTGACTTCAAATGTCCAAGAAAACATTGTCAAAAAACACCTGGTCAAAACAAGACAGTTCAGTCCTTCAGCACTTAAGTTACAAATAACCTAACCCTTGCTAGTTAATCAGATATAATGATAGATAGTTTCCATGATGGTAACATTTATTTAAGTCTAATTTAAAGGTATATATAATAGAACTAGAGTCAAGTTTCACAAGTTTAGTTATTTTTTGTGCTAGATCACCAAGTACAAATAACTCGCTTCCCGATTCCTCAAAGCCTGTCCACTATCTACAAGGCACAAGTCATTACATCCTCTCTGCTTGCCTCATGGCATGTACTTCAACACTCAAGAAGCTCAATATCATCCAGGACATAGCACACTCTGCTTGATTAGTATGCCATTTAACACCTTCAACTTTCATTCCCTTCATCAATGACGCACAGTGTCAGTAGTATGTATCATCTACAAGGTGCACTGCAGCAACTGGCCAAGATTTTATAGCACCTTCCGTATCTATGACCTCTACCGCTTTAAAGGCAGTAGATGCATGTGAACACCATCACCTGTGGGTTTTTCTATGATAAAATATCATATATGATATTGGGTGGAAATTAGAAATAGCAAGGAGAAGAAGTCACTGATATGTGTGGTCTATAGGCCAAACAATGACATTGTGGTGGGGTGGGCAATAAACATAGAAGTAGCTAATGCATGTAAAAATGGTACAGCAATTATCATGGGGGATTTTAATCTACATATCGATTGGTCAAACCAGGTTGGTCATGGCAGTCTTGAGGAGGGGTTCATAGAATGCATCTGTGATAATTTCCTTGAACAATATATGTGATGGAACCTACGAGGGAACAAGCTATTCTAGATCTAGTCCTGTGTAATGAGACAGGAATAATTAATGATCCTTTTGGAAGGAGCGATCACAGTATGTTCGCATTTAAAATACAGTTGGAGCGTGAGAAGGTTAAATCCAGTACCAATGTCCTGTGCTTAAACAAAACGAGACGATGATGGGATGAGGGAGGAGTTAGGCAAGGTAAAATGGGAGCAAAAACTTTATGGTGGGTCAATTGGGGAACAGTGGAGGACTTTCAAAATGATTTTTCACAGTGCTCAGCAGAAGTATATTCCAGTGATAAGGAAGAACTGTAGGAAAAGAAATAGTCAACCATGGATGTCTAAAGAAATAAAGGAAAGTATCAGATTAAAAAAAAAATACATACAAAGATTAGTGGGAAACTAGTAGGTTGGGAAATCTTTAAAGGCCAACAGAAAGTCACAAAAAAAGTTATAAAGAAAAGTAAGATAGATTATAAGAGCAAACTAGCTCAATAAATAAAAACAGGCAGCAAAAGTTTCTATAAATATGTAAATCGTAAAGAGTGGCGAAGGTAAACATTGGTCCCTTAGAGGATGAAAAGGCCAATTTAATAACTGGCAATGAGGAAACAGCCGAGGCATTAAACAGTTATTTTGTGTCGGTCTTCACAGTGGAAGACACAAATAACATGCCGAAAACTGATGGTAAGAAGGTTATAGCAGGTGAAGACCTAGAAACTATCATTATCACTAAGGAGGCAGTGCTGGGTAAGCTAATGGGGCTAAAGGTAGACAAGTCTCCTGGCCCTGATGAAATGCATCCCAGGGTACTAAAAGAGGTGATGGGGGAAAATAGCAAATGCACTAGTAATCATATACCAAAATTCACTGGACTCTAGGGTGGTTCCGCTGATTGGAAAACAGCCAATGTGACTGTTTAAAAAAGGAAGTAGACAAAATGCAGGTAACTATAGGCCAGTTAGCCTAACTTCGGTAGTGGGGAAAATGCTTGAATCTATCATTAAGGAAGAAATAGCAAGACATCTGGATACAAATTCTCCCATTGGGAACACCCAGCATGGCTTCATGAAGGGTAGGTCACGTTTAACTCATTTGGTGGAATTCTTTGAGGACATTACTTGTACGGTGGACAATGGGGAACCTGTGGATGTAGTGTATCTGGATTTCCAGAAGGCATTTGACAAGGTGCCACACCAAAGGCTGTTACATAAGATAAAGTTGCACGGTATTACAGGTAATGTATTGGCATGGATAGAGGATTGGTTGACTAGTAGAAAGCAAAGAGTAGGGGGCAAATGGGTGTTTTTTTGGTTGGCGGTCAGTGGCTAGTGTGCCTCAGGGATCAGAGTTGGGACTGCAATTGTTTACGATTTACATAGATGATTTGGAGATGGGGACTAAGTGTGTTGTGTCAAAATTTGCAGATACACTAAGATGACTGGTAGAGCAAAGTGTGCAGAAGACAAAGTCTGCTGAGGGATACAGATAGTCTAAGTGAGTAGGCAAAGGTCTGGCAGATGGAGTACAATGTTGATAAGTGTGAGGTCGTCCATTTTGGCAGGAATAACAGCAAAATGGACTATGTTTTAAATGGTAAAAAATTGCAGCACGCTGCTGTGCAGAGGGACTTGGGTGTCCTTGTGCATGAATCGCTAAAAGTAGGATTGCAGGTGCAACAGGTAATTAAAAAGGCAAATGGAATTTTGTCTGTCATTGCTCGAGGGATGGAATTTAAAAACAGGGAGTCTATGCTGCAGCTGTATAGGGTCCTGGTGAGGCCACACCTGGAGTACTGTGTGCAGTTTTGGTCTCCTTACTTGAGAAGGGATATACTAACACTGGAGGGGGTGCAGAGGAGATTCACTCGGTTGATTCCAGAGTTGAGGGGGTTGGATTATGAGGAGAGACTGAGTAGGCTGGCATTATACTCATTGGAATGCAGAAGAATGAGGGGAGATCTTATAGAAACATATAAGATTATGAAGGGAATAGATAAGGTGGAGGCAGGGAGGTTGTTTCCGCTAGTAGGTGAAGCTAGGACTAGGGGGCACAGCCTCAAAATAAAGGGAAGCAGATGTAGGACTGAGGTCAGGAGGAACTTCTTCACCCAAAGGGTTGTGAATCTGTGGAATTCCCTGCCCAGTGAAGCGGTTGAAGCTACCTCGCTGAATGTGTTTAAGGCAAGGCTAGATAAATTTTTGAACAGTAAAGGAATTAAGGGTTATGGTGTGCGAGCGGGTAAGTGGAGCTGAGTCTCAAAAAGATCAGCCATGATCTTATTGAAAGGCGGGGCAGGCTCGAGGGACCGGATGGCCTACTCCTGCTCCTAGTTCTTATGTTCTAAAATCGAAAGTATTTTTTTAACCAATTCTAATTCTTTCACAATCAATATTATAGAATATTTTGTTCTATGAATTACATACTTGTAAAGCACTAATCAATTTACATTTGAATTGCAAAAAATGTTACACATTCCTCAATTGATGATGATAGCCAAAAGGGAAATTAAAACTGTCAACCTTACAAAAGTTCCAATAGAATTCTCAAACTAGACCAATAATTGTAAGATATGCAAAGCACAGAGAAGTGTAACCGTTAGTTTACAAAATAAAAGTTGGGTCAAAAAATATACAGAACACCCAACATGAAAAGTTCTCCAAGTCAATACAATTTTGTCAAAGAAAACTGAATGTCAATTCAAGGAAAAACATTTTCATGCAAGTGGCTAGGATCTGGGATGTACTGCCTGGTGTATGTTGGAGACAGGTCCAATGGAGCCTTTCAAAAGTCAGTTGAATCATTTTCTTAAATGAGCTACAGGAAAAGCCAATGCAGCAAGCACAGACATGACTAGTCAAATGGTCCCCAATGTAATCATTCTCTGATTCTACAACTTAGGATAACCATATACACTCTTTAAGACACAGCTTCCACATCTGCTACAATATTTAACAAGCTGAGTTAATTACATTTTTCAATGCCACAGATTGTCAATTGCTGTAACATCCCTAGCATACTGAGGAACCGAGCTGAGATCTCAGCACAGTATGAGGATTAAGCACAGAAAACTGGATGAAGACAGACAAGAATTAACCCTTGTCTTCTGTAAGCAGGATGCGGAACCTTTTGAAAGCACAGCTACACAATGCACCGTTAACATACACTTATTTTAAATGAAAGCATAATAATTAAGAAAGCACAAACACAGTAGCTTAATATAATTATTAGATTATAAAACATTCATTCTTTGCTGGTGACAAAAGACTAATTTTTAAAAAATCTTGATCTGTAGATACATTCAGTGGTGTCAGTTACTCCAAAAATTCCAAGCAGTCAGAATATTAATGGGATTAGACTCAACTCGTCTTTTGACTACATATATGATGGCCTAAGCCAAGGATTTAACAAACATCATTTGCCATCTAGACGAACTATTTGTCTGTTCCACACATACTCTGCCAAACCTAGAGAAGAGGCAGCACAGTAAGGTGGTTAGGCAAGACTTGTAGAACTCATTAGGTACTCTTGTTATACAGTGACTGAATGTACACAATAACAGTTCTGATGGATCAGTATAATTCATCCCTTACAGAAAAATAAAAAGAATAAATAAAAAGCATGGTATATTTGCCAGTGATCATGTTCGACTTGATCAAAGTATTCCAACTCTACTCTAGATTACTACTGACTTCAGAGATTAGAGAAGTAAATTAGACAGTGTAAAATGGGTTGCTGATTCCTTATCACCTATTTCACACTTCTGCCAAAGACAAACTTCAAACCCTTCACCTTACTCAATGAGGAACTTGATTTGACTGAATGAATGATGTGTGAACAGTTTCACCAGAAAATGTTTATCATTTTTTAAAAAGAACAGAATAGGTACACTACACTCAATTAATTTAGTTGTCCCTGAGCCAAAACCTTAAAATTATACTAAAGAACTTCAGTCTGTTTATTACGTTCTGCTTGACATTAGTAAACCTGCAATCAGACTGAAGTACTCTCAGGGAAAATGACTGCCTCATCCATTAAACAATAAACTTCAGTGTTTAGTGTGCAATTTTGCAGGTAGGCCTCAAAGGTCATTTATCTTCAAGTATTGGTTTGTCATTAAGTCTTGGATAACTTTAGCAATAAAAACGCCCAACATTAGCACTTGAAAATGAAGCAGATATGGTTTGTCCCATTAACTTTGAATAATTTTATCTCAATGGGCATGGATTATCCAGTTTACCAGGGGTTAAATTCATCATAGCCCCAGAGGAGCGTAGGGTTGCTCTCTCATTACAAAGACACGACTGGTCATGGTTTAATCTGAAAGTCACCAAGCCTCAGGTGAGGGGTGAAATCCAGAAGGTGGGACTTTCATGATTACGCAGACTAGGAAAGGGGACATCTGAGAGGGATGTGTGAAAACAAGAATGAAAATTTTTAATTTGAGACCATAAGATGGAGAGCTGGTGATGGCCAGAAAATAAAAAGGGTGATGAGTGATTTAGATTTGAAGTGAGTAAAAATCAGGCAGAGTTTAGGATGAACACAAGACAACGTCAGGTACAATGTGGAAGGCTAGCCAGGGAAGCATCAGAATAATCAAAGTCAAGTGAAAAGAAAAGTATGGATGAGCTTTTCAGTAGCAACACAGGTGAGGGCAAGCAGTCATGCAATGTTGTGCAGGTGGAAATACGCAGCTTTGCTGACTGTTTGAATATGTGGTCAGAATCCTAACTTGAGACACACCTAACTGAGGAGGTTCTGAACATTTCAATCAAGTTGTGTAATTAACAAGGATGAAAATGGTGTACAAGAAATGACGTTTGTGATGAGGACCAATAACTTCAACGTCAGTCTTCCCAATACCAAACTTGCAGGAAATTTTTGTTCTTCCAATACGTGCTAGATAAATAGTGATAAATCAGAGGCAATTGAAAGGTCAACATATACCATAATTGTCATCTACTTGCACCTTCCCTGACTTCATATTTACCATAAAGCATCTTTCCATTCATTTATCATTGAACCGAGAACAGTTTTAGTGATAAAGTGCATTGCTTTAAATGGTGCAGATAAATATGGCTCTAAAACGGCTAAGATGTTGTTCAAAGATGTTGGACTCGAGGGAGCAATGATGAAGGTTGCACAGGAAGGGCTAGGGTGGGAGGAGTAGTCAGAGCAGAATAGATGGAATCAGTGAGGTTGAGGGAGAGTTGGCTGCATGGAGGGTAAAGGATTTGCTGGGGGGGGGGGGGCAGAAAGGAGTCAAGGGAGGGGAAGAGACAGGGGAGTTGAGGGCTGCGAGAGAAAAACAGGGTGGGGAAGGCACAAGGGGAGTTTGGGGCAAAAAAACATGAGAGTTAAGTCAGGGGAAGACTGTGAGGCAGTTAAGGTGAGGAGAAAGAGAAGGCAAAGTTGGGGTTAAAGGAGATAGAGGAAAGAGTTCTTCTAATGACAATGGCATTAAAGGTGGTTGAGTATTGAAATTTAGCAAATCATTAACTGTTTAGGTGTCATGAAGATAGAGGTCAAATTTTGCTCTTCAATTTTTACAGTCATTAAGGCAAGGTACGTCAGTGATTCCAAAATTTCTTATTACGTACATGAACATCTTTGCTCACGTTCTCACTCTAACTTTATACTTTCAACGTTAAGTGTAAGTCATGCCAATTTGCAATATAAACAGGACAGAGGAGGGAAGTTCAAAGTAGCCAAGATTTTCTGCCTTTTGTTTTACAAATAGAAAATTTACATACCTACTCCACTCAGCTCAACAGCTAACTTCCTAAATCAGAAAAAAAGGTACTCAGTTTTAGATGGAGCAAAACTTGCTCACTTGGTGATAAGAGACATAGATTTAACTTTTTGCCACTTTCCTGTTGTATAACTACTTTGTATTTAAACATAAGCAGGTGGCAATTCACTTGAATCACTATTAATAGGCAGAGATCAAAACTCATGTGGTTGGGCTTGGAGCTTTCTGCTTGAAATGTGCAACTCTGCCAGTAATTATAAACTGTGTAAAGGTTGGCCTGTACTCTTCTCTCATCAGTTGACTTTTGAAGAAGTCCCCTAGAACATATTTCTTTAGTAACAAGTTTGTTAAAGTTTGAAAATATGCTTGATTTTAGACTAAATCTTAACAGTTCACTTTAAAATCAGTCGTGAGAACCACTACATAATCAACTTGTTGGGGTGTGGAGACAGTAAGGATTGCAGATACTGGAAGCTAGATTCAATAAACGTGGTGCTGGAAAAGCTCAGCAGGTCAGATGGCATCCAAGGAGGAGGGAAGTCAACGTTTCAGGCCGAAACCCTTCACCTCCCCAGTCCTGAAGAAGGGTTTCGGCCCGAAACATGGACTTCCTGCTCCTCGGATGCCGAATGACCTGCTGTGCTTTTCCAGCTCCAAATTTGTTGGGTTGAGAGTTCGGTTAGCTCAGTTAGCTGAATGGCTGGCTTGCGATCCAGAATGATGGTAACAGTATGGCTGCAATTCCCACTCTAGCTGAGGTTACCACAAAGGACTTTCCTTCTCAAATTCTTTCCTTTCCAGAGGTATAGTAACCCTCGGGTCCAAGGAGAAAGGAGTCCTGTGGTCTAGTAGGTCTACGGCAACCACTCTTCACCAGCTTAAGAATGATTTATAACTTCCAGTTTAACTTTTATTCTACATTAAGTGTTAAGAAGAGGAGAGATGGTTTTAATTAAGTTTTGTTTTGAGGAGTTTTTAGGGGCTGTGTGTTGGGGAGACCAGAGGGTTTGTTTGTTTGGATGCATTTTTAATTCGGCTTTACAATGCTTGCAGTGAAGAAATATAGGTCAACAGATCAGTGCAGTAAATACAGATGAAAGTTGTGTTGTTGACTAGTGACAGCAGTCCAGGGACATACAGAAACACAGAAAAGTCTAGAGGTCAGTCAGCTAGTAAGTGAGTCCATGCCACAGAAAGACCACTGAAACCGGTGTCTGTTTTGAAATTAAAAAACAGGCAGTCCCTGGGATACAAATGGGCTCTGTTCTTGAGTCTGTTTGCAAGTCGATTTGTTCGCAAGTTGGAACATAATGCAGAACAAAATAAAATAGCCATAAGTAATTTTATTAATAATTAATTAATAAATAATCATAATTCATAAGTAATAACCATTCACAAGGAACTACTCAAGTCTAATCTTAAGAATTAATATTAATACATCCTTGAATGGGATAGCGTTTCTAAGTGCACGCCTTCATAAATCAGGGACTCTCTGTTATAGTGAATTTAGTTTGTTTTAGGTATCTCAGGGAGACACACCAACTGAAGCAAAAAAAAAGGCATCTGATGAAGGTGTAGAAACTTGCTGGAGGAAGACAGGTTTCGGCTATGCAAAGAAACCTTGTTAGAGATCACAGCAATTCTTCGTTGGAGTTTTTAATATTTGTTTGGGTACTGCTGGGATAAAATGAATAGTGTGAATCTGTTCAGTGTAGTAAAGTTCATGACTTGCATGTTTAATAAACATTTTACTCCACGTTAAATGTACAAGGGCAGACTCCTGTGAATGCATTTAGTCATAGACCACCACATCGAAAAGAATTATGCCTCCCAAGCCAGGTTTAACTCAGAGGTCTTACTTGTCCAGTATTAACATTAGCTGGGATCATAAACTGCCTTTATTAGTGTTGATATTCAGTAGCATTTTTGAATGAAGATACACAGTATCATCTTAAAAAGTTGATGAAAGTTGATGTGTAATAGCAATTAGCAACAGGTTTGCCACATTAGTTGGCAATCCCAATTCTTCAAATAAGTCTGGAGTATTAATTGCTGGACCCAGAAGCATTCAAACTGTTTTTGTACCTGTTATTCGACCATTATGCTCCTTCAGTTCATGATTCTTGATCCACTGGTTTCCACTTTTCTTATAAATATGAACCTCATGGTTATTGGGGCTAAGTGCTATCTCTGTAGAAATCAGAAAAACAACTAGTAAAATAAAAAATTCACATTAATAATCACTTATTCAATCTAAACTGTTAAGAAGTGTCCCTGAACCTTAAATTCAAGGTTTCTAAGGATAACTTTATTAAATTAGTAGACCAGAACAAACAGTCTATGCAAGTGATCTGGTAAGTTGCAGGTTTATCCTAAGAGGTACAGGTACAGTTATAAACACCCGGATTTCCAATAAGATGTAGCTGTAACCAATACCTGATCATAGGAACTCTACTCAACTTTCCAATGATAGCAATCTAGATAATCACATATTATGCTAAATTTCAATTTCATAGACTCATTGGCTATCATCTGAGGTCATACAGGCATTGTTTGTTTTGGAGTAATACTGGGAAATGTTGTGCAATCCATAACCTACTCTGAAGTGTTCCCTACATGTTAGAACACAAGGTTTGAGGAACAACTTATAAGCTTCAGGGTTGACTAATTAAAAATAATCCTCTGCTTTTATTGATACCGTTGAAAGGTTAAATGCCACTTACACATACCATCAAAACGTAACACATGTTGCTCTAAAACATCACCATAATGAGCAGCTCTAACTGGAGTTTATTGATCATGAATGCACTAGTGAAATGGAGATTTCAGCAAAAAATCTTCAAGCATTGGTCTTTGCTGAGATAGGAAACGCAAACCCATTTCCACCTGGTCTTTAGCACGATATATATGCTGAAAATGTGTCGAATGGCAGAGGACAATTTGTAAACCAACATTAGATTTAAACTTTGATTTCTCCAAAGCTGGAAATGCAGCAACTGAACTACCTGTCCATCCTTCAAGATTATGTATCCCATCAGGGTGTGGTGCTTTGTTTCCCTTCAGGCTAACATACCAACTTCAAAAACCATCTCTTTTCTACCAACCTCTCGAATAAACACCAACATGAAGTACTTATTCAATATCAGTTTATGATTTTAGTCTGAATTGGTATTCTCTTGTCAGAGATTCTACCATGCTTTAACAGTTACAAACTTAAATCAGTACATGTGAAGTGTACATTCCTTTCAATTTTCCTCCTCATACACCATCAATGCCTCCACTACCAGATGTTATTTTCTCATATTCTTAAAATCCTCAAAAGGCCCCCAATTTTAGTTAGTTTCTAATTTCTATTTATCAGTGAATCTTGAAGATAATAGTTTAGTAAACTGCTTAAACTGAAAGCAACAGAAATTATTCATTAAATATTATGCCAACAAAAGCATGTCACAGGAATGACTGACTTTTTTCCCCATAATTTAAAGGTGACACCTCTGAGCCACATTAATTGTAAGGGCATAGTTTGAGATGTGCCAATTTTTGCAAATGCAACAACAGTATTTTCTTAAGGAAACTGATACTATAATCTTGGGCAGTGGAAATACTTCTAATATGTGAATAACTCATTAGGATTCATATGTTTCTCTCTAAATAGAGTTAGCTCAGAAGAGTCATATCAGGCTTGAAACATTAACTCAGTTTCTCTCTCCACAGATGCTGCCAGACCTGCTGAGTTTCTTCAGCATTTTCTGTACTTGTTCAAGGTTAGTGCAGAACTAATTAAATATAGCCTTTTAACATTCCTGTTGAGCCCATATAAAAGAAGTCAACATGGTCAGTTATGCAATAACTATCTGATGTTTTTGAAGGCCTAGTAGTTTTATCACTGGACTGTAATTTGGAAACCCAGGTAATGTTCTGGGTATCCAGGTTTGAATCCTGCTATGGCTGGTTGCAGAATCTGAATTCAATAAAAATCTGGAATTAAGAATCTAATGGTGATCATGAATCAATTATTGATTGCTGGAAAAACCCAACCATGATCTCATTGAATGGCAGAGCACACTCAGTGGCCTGAATGGCCTACTTTTGCTCTTGTCTGATGGTCTTATTTATCTCTAGGATATGAGAATTAGCCAGCACAAAGTCCACGATTGATACGTGTCAGTGTATAATTGCCTTCAATATAAAAGCACCAATCTACAAGCATAGCTATTCTATCTTAAAACGGGTTATTAATGGTTTAGAAAAATATCTCAAAACGTAACTTACGTGTCCGATCTTGATTCCAGGCATGGCATGTGATTGGCTCAAACAAGAATTGATGACGAGACATTCTAGTGTCAAAATTTCCGTAAGACAGTCACAAAACCTGTAAGATTTTATAGAATGTGAAATAACATTTCCGTTTCAAACACAAACCTACTCCTAGAAACAAATGTTTCTCATGTGAAAGGATAATAATTAATGTGTATTTAAAAATCTGTACCAAATTATTGTAAGGAAGGTTGTCACACAAAGTATACATAAAATAGAACCTGTGGCTCAAGACCAACAGTATATAAGTAAACAGCATTGACTATGAAGGAAGAGTATTTCTTTCTTAAAAAAAAGTGAAAAACAACTGTTATTGTCACACTTCACATTAAAATGAAAACACTAACGGTATCCCTTTGAATACATACACATTTAGCTACCACTTTTTGGAAGGAGACAATCTTCAGCATTCAAGATTTTCTCAATAAATGCATGATGCATTATTTCTAGTTTAGACTAGTAATTATTGCCCAAAAGTACTTCACTGGTTGTAAAGCACGCTTTCTCAGCTCAAACTGAATAGCGCCTCGAATGCCTCTGGTAATACCACTAACTAAAGGGGAACAAAACATTCATTACAGAAGTGCACCTAGTGAACGTCCAGCACCTTTATCAAAATTCTTAAAGCTTGAGATCACATCACTGGGAAAACTGTAGGTATGAGCTTGAGTTCTAATCATTGTGTTCAAAGGGTGGGGACTCTGTAATGGTTAACTTTAATTGCTCTAGAGCAACCAGCCAAAAGCACCTTTACAGCCTGAAGATATCAATGAATCAAAGAATTCGAACATTTTTCTTGTGAATACCAAAATGTTTTTGATCACTGCTTACCAACCATTTCACGCAAGCACAGTAATGTAGACGTTTGAGAAATAATCATATTTTAGGAGTATTTCCACTGCACACTGAGACCCTGAGACCATTGGTCTCAATGTTTGAAAAAGTAAAACTACTTAACGCAGCTTCTTACACTGAAAAATAAGCCAACTCCTTTTGAAATTGAAGGTGACCTGTTTCACATATTATGAGGCAGTGCTTGGACCAAAAATATGTAGAGCTGTTTCTATTCAAATGTCTTCTGATCAAGTGAACCAATCTCCTATACAGCTGACTGAGGGACAAATCAAGTTTAATGAAGTCTTTGAACGCCATTATAATAGGAGGAAGTACATTACACTCTGCCATATCGGCATGAGTACAGACGAACAGCTATCAATTGTTTTGTTTGCCTCAGTAGTTCAATATTAAATGTAAGCAGGCAGCTACAATTAGGAATATTTCACTCTCCATATCACACCTCATATTTTTGTCAAGTTTTGATGAAGCAACTCCATTTTTTGCACCATTTTGCTGTATTAACTGGGATATATTTTAATCCAAAGCAACAAGAGACTGATTGTTCCACATTTAGGAAAATGCTGGAACCGAATATTCCGCTCGTCAGAAAAGGGTATAACAGAAACATATTATGTATCTGGGAACCATCTCAGCTGTTGTCCAAAGTTCAAACTTCTTGCCAAACGAGAAATGTGGCAGCATTGAGTTATTCATTTAATTACAGAAGCATGATATTGTTAATGGCTATAAAAGACATCAGCCAAATATTTGTGAATTTTAAGAGTAATCCTAATTATATTGTGTGCAGCAATTTCACAGTGCCCGATTCTTCAACCTTTCAAAAATTCATAAGTAAAATAAATTTACAGGAGTTCTTACCATTAATAAAGTTACCATTTTTATGAAGTTCAACTCAAGTACTAGGCTAAAACAAAAGTTGATTTTTAAATCAAGCCAGATGTACTAATTTCCCTATTAATAATGACAGACAACGCAAGAGATTTAAGGTTGCCTGCAGAACAGAATACATTCCATTGGAAATGCCAAATGTAAACAACTGATTTAACGTTGGAAGTACATTCTGACTGAAATATTAATGCTTGTTATGAATCATTACTATGTTTTTCATACCTAGTATAGAATCTTCAAGAATTTGGAACAATGGACATTCTTCACTGCAGAATACAGTAAAATATTCTACATACCAGTCACTGAAGTTAATTCTTCATCTACAGCATCAGAACATTAGGATTGTTAGTGACAAATTGAATCTCAGCACTTGGATTAGACACATTTGGCACTGAATCTCATTTGAAAAGGTAACTGAAATGCTGATTAGCAAAACCACACAAATAGAAACCTCACAGTCTGCCAGCTAGCTAGGATTAACACTTCCAATCAAACATTTCAAGAATTTGCTTTTTGCAAATTATAGTTGGCTGGTAATTTGCTAAACCACAATTAAAAGGTTAATTCAAATATTCATAATAGATGCATAGATAACTTCAAAATAACACTTCCAGATGTTGAATCTGCAAGATTGTCATTGCTGCTTCACAAATAAAACACACTCGATTCCTCCTTCCTACACCAATTAATGACACAATAACATGGCAGTAACAGAAGGAATAAGAAATTTAGTGTTGCCAAAATGGTAATTTAGTCCAGTTTATATTCTTGATTAAAATAAAGAATTGACATCAAAACAAGACATTATTGAGATTTTTTTTTTATTTACTAGTGGGACGTTGATGTTGCTGGATGACCAGCATTTAATGCCCATCCCTACCTGTCCTGGAGAAGATGGGGGAAGAGCTGCGTCTTGAACTGCTGCAGTTCAAATGCTGTAGGTAGAGCCACAATGCCTTTAGGAAGAGAATGCCTGGATTTTGCCCCAGCGACACTGAAGGAACGGCATTATATTTCAGGATGATGAGTGACTTGGAGGGGAACTTGCAAGTGGTGACGTTCCCACATATTTGCTGCCCGTGTCCAGAGTCTAGATGGAAGTGGTTGTGGGTCCGGAAAGTGCTGTCTAAGAATCTCTGGTGAATTTCTGCAGCAAATCTTATAGGTAACTGCTACTGAGCATCAGTGATGGAGGGAGTGGATGATTGTGGATATAGTGCCAATCAAGCTGGCTGCTTTGTCCTGGATGGTCTCAAGCCTCTAGATAGTTGAAGAAGCTGCACTCATCCAGACAAGGGGGTGGAAGTATTCCATCCCACTCGTGTCTTGTGCCTTATAGATGGTGGACAGGTTTTGGGAAGTCAGGAGGTGTATTCCTGGCATCTGACCTGCTCTTGTAACCACTGTATTTATATGGCGAGTCCAGTTGAGTTTCTGGTCAATAGTAACAACCAGAATGTTAATAGCAGGGGATTCAGTGAAGGTAACACAGAATTTCAAGGAGCTGTGGTTAGATTGTCTCCATTATTGGATATGGTTAATGCCTGGCATTTGTGTGGTGCAAATGTTACCTGTCGCTTTTGAGATGAAGCATGGATACCATTCTGGTCTTGGTTCATTTGATACTAATTTAGTATATGAGGAGTCACAAATGGCACTGAACATTTTAGCTGATGATTGCATAATCCCCACTTCTGACTTTAAGATGGAGGGAAGGTCATTGAAGAAGTAACTGAACATGGCTGGATCTAGGACACTACCCTTAGGACCTGCTGCTGAGATGTCTTGGGGCTGACGTGACTGACATACAAGAACCAAAACCATCTCCCTACATGCCAGGTATGACTCCAACCAGCAGAGAGTTTGCCCCATTGATTCCAGTTTCGCCAGGGCTCCTGGATTCTGGCAAAACATGGCCTTGATGTCAGGGGCTGTCACTCATTTCTTGAATTCAACTCTTTTGTCTATGTTTGAACCAAGACTGTAATGAGGTCAAGAACTGAGTGGCCCCAGTGGAACCCAAACTGGTCATCAGTAAGCAGGTTGTCGCTAAGCAGTACCACCGTTGACAACACTTTGCTAATGATCAAGAGTAGATTAATGGGGTGAAAATTGGCCAGGTTGGATTTGTCCTTCTTTCTGTGTACAGGACATACTTGGGCAATTTTCCAATCAGGTAGATGCCAAATCAGCTGCAGCTGTACTGAAACAACTTGGCTAAGGTTGCAGCAAGTTCTGGGGCACAAATAACTGACAAATAAAACATACAATGACAAGAACAAAACTGTTCTTGAAGCTGCTCTGTACAATTAGATCATGATTGATCTGCTAAAGTCGTAACCATTTTGCTTTTGGTTTAGAAAGTCTTAAAATGTTCAGCTGATCTAACAGCATCAATAAGTAGACAGTAAATGTTACTTCACAGAATGTGAAGCAGAGGGGGGATGGGAACAGAAAGCTTTTTAACCTGAATGATAGATCAGGAATTTGGTGCAAGTGGACAATGTTTTATGTTCAATACAGAAGTGTTCTTCTTCATCTCCAAGCTAGGGGACTGCAACTTACTATTTATTACTTTATTAAATCCTAAGTACTTAACTAATGAAGTTAATAAGTAAGGTTAGACAGACATAGCAGGGCAGGTTATGAACCATAATTGCAACAGGAGAGTTTGCGTAGAGCAATCTCAAAAAAAAACTATATTTGAGGCAAGTGTGTGCAGTTTGAATAACTTTGGCTCAAAGGTTTTGACCTGGAGCTCGAGCTGCAAATTGCAAACCGACGGTCAGGAACAGCGAAGTGTGCCTGAGTCAAGATGTTATTAGAATCAAGCATGGAGTGATACAGGAGTTTTATCTTTCGAATTCAACTAACGAGCACGAGGTCCAAGCAGACAATTAAAAATTAAACATTTGTTTGTATGAGCGGCACGGTGGCTCAGTGGTTAGCACTGCTGCCTCACAGTGCCACCAACCCGGGTTCAATTCCACCCTTGGGCAACTGTCTACATGGGGTTTGCACGTTCTCCCTGTGTTTGCGTGGGTATCCTCCGGGTGCTCCGATTTCTTCCCACAGTCCAAAGATGTGCAGGCTCGATGTATTGGCCATGCTAAATTGCCCTTGGTGTTCAGGGATGTGTAGATTAGGTGGGTTACAGGGGGATGGGTCTGGGCGGGATGCTCCGAGAGTCGGTGTGGACTTGTTGGCCCGAAGGGCCTGTTTCCACACTGTATGGATTCCATGAAAAACTGTGGGGTAGATGGGCAAACTGACTATAACATCGTTATGCAGGAATCCATTTAAGTGAACTCACTGATACGACTCCAAAACTGTAGCAT